CGTCTGGTGGGGGCCCGAGGCCGTCGGAGGCCATCTATAGGACCGTTGGGGAGGTTTTGGGGGACCGCCGCCGACCCCGTCTGCACGGCTTGGCAGGGCCCCTTCCGCACGGCTTCGCAGGGGTTTCCAGCGGCCCAGAAACCTCGCGGCCAAGCGTCTGGGGCGTTCAGGAGCCCCGGACGCTTGGGATCACGTTCCCGGGGGGCGGGGTCCGCATCCCCCGGATAAATGAACAGATGCGGAAGGGAATCTACAAGCGCATATGTATATATATATATACATATGTATATATATATATATATATATATATGTGCATACATACACATACACATACACATATATATATATATCTATATGAACTACGAGTGACATATATATATCTATATATATATGAGTATATGGGTATACACATATTGACACACATATCAAACAAGGATCAACCACTAAAAATGTGTGATTCTTTCGCAGAGAGAGGAGGCCTGGGACACCAGGGTCGGCCACGACCTGTGCTGGCGCAGACCTCGGCGCCCTCCCGCATTCGGCGGTTCAAAAACGGGGCCTTGAGGGGATGGGGCTCTGAGGATAGGAAGTGGTTCACAAGTTGAGCCATCACTGATTGAGATTCTCTGTCATGTAGGGCCCCATGACTCAGCACAGGAACAAACAATGACATAAACATCAACGTCCAGAGGTCCGCGCGGAGTTCTCGGTGCTGGACCCCCTCTCTGGCGCGCGGAACGCGCCAGGGGCGGGGCCGGACGCGCCGCCAGGGGAGTCCAACGCCGATTTGGGAACGCCGCGCGGACCTCCGACAGTTTTTGTTAATATAACTGTTTGCTCCCCGTTCCTCGCGGCCCTGGGGGATAGGGCACTGAGGGTGGGATCGATGATCCTCCGAACGTATGCTAGCCCAATGTGTGTTATCCTGCCTCAGCTCCGCCGCTAACTCGCAGCTCTTGACAGTCGTCAGCGCGCAGAAGCAAGTGTTGCGGGGCCTCGTCGGGGCCCCGCAGGGGTCGTCTTTTCGTTGCGGCTCGCCTCTTGCCCTTACTGAAAAACTGACCCTCAGCTCCTCCTCCCGTCCTTTGTCCTCTTATTTCCTTCGCCGCTTGAGGTTATCGTCCTTTCTAGGGCCCCACGCCTCAGGGCCCCATCTCCCCAGTCCCCCCACGCCGTGACTTTCTCACAACGTCGACCCCCAAAGGTCTGGACCAGGGCTGGACCTAAACGCTGTTTTGCTGGACTTCGGCTGTGTCTTGTTTTTCGTTTTGGCAGGGAGGTACAGGGAAACCAGAAGGAAAAACATAACGAAACCAAAACGAACGAAAAACAGAACGAAACCAAAACGAAAAACATAACGTTCGTTGGTGGAGCAGAAGGAAAAACAGAGCGAGACCAAAACGAAAAACAACGTTTAGGTCCAGCCCTGGGTCTGGACCCCTCCAGGGCCGTGTTTTTCATCCTGCGAGTCGCTCTCTGACGGCCCCAAGGCCCGGCGGGGGCCCCCGGAAGCCGCAAATCGGCGGCGGGCGAGGGGGGGAAGTGAGAAGGAGAAGGCCTTCTCAGAAGGCGGCGGGACTTCTCAGAAGCCCTCGCGCCTTCTGAGAAAATTTTTGTGTTTTCGGGGAAGACTTAGAAAACTTCTCAGAAGGCTGGGGAACCTCCGAGCCTTCTGGGAAGGCCCGCCCCGTCTCATTTTCCCCCCGGGCGCGCCGCCTAGCAAATAGCGAGCATACATCCCGTCGGGATTTTTATCACAGCGCGAGGGGGTCTGTGTTTGAACCGCCCGTGCGCCCCCTTTTGTCCCGCGACGCCCCTCGGCCGGCAGCCTTCGGCAAGATGCAGCGGGCCCTCCGGGCGGCCCTCGTGCTCTCGGCCGCCGCGCGGGGAGCTGCCAAGGAGCAGGGGCCACGCCAAGGGGGGCACCCCGCTGGGGATGGGGAGGTTTTCGGGCGTCTTCGTCGGGCCCCGCCGGGTTTCCAGCCTCGGGGTGTGCTGCCCAACAGCTGCGCCTCGCCAAGGGTGCCGTGAAAGGGCGGAGGGGAGTTCGGACGTGTTCGTCGGGCCTCGGCCGTTTTCCAGCCTCGGGGTGCTGTCCAGCAGTTGCGCCTCGCCGGGGGGTACCGTCAGGTGGGGGTGGGGTTCGGACGTGTTCGTCGGGCCTCGGCTGTTTTCCAGCCGCGGGGTACTGTCCAGCAGTTGCGCCTCGGCGAGGGTGCCGTCAGAGGGGAGAGATTTTCGGACTTCTTTGTTGGGCTTCGACTGTTTTCCAGCCCCGAGGTGCGATCCAGCGGCTGCGCCTCGCCGAGAGCGCTCCGGGAGGGCCCCGATGTTCCTGAGCGGCCGCGGGAGAGCGGAGTCACGGCCCGCAAAACCAGGGGGGCAGCTTGGAGGGATAGGTCGACTACACGCAAGAGTGACCTTTCGCCGGAGTGACCTTTGGTGCGGGCCCAATGGGGCTCCCCGATCGCTGAACGCGATGCGATAGCAGCGGCTTCCGCCCCTGGTGGTGCCCCCAAGAGGCCTCCCTTGGCCGCGCACTTTGGCCGCGCACTGAAGGTCACTCTTGCCTAGGGTCACCCTTGCGTGTAGCCGAAAGGGCTCAGGGGGGAAATGTTGGCCCCCAGCCTCGCATTGATTGCCGACGGGGGCCTGGTGGCCCACCAAGCCCATGAGCAGGCGGTAGGCTGTCAGGGGTCGATCGCCGAGGCATCGGCGACGTGTCACTGCTTCCAGCTCGACGCTTCCCCTCCTCCTCCTCCTCCTCCTCCTTCTCCTCCTCCCCGTCCTCCTCCTCCTCCTCCTCCTCCTCCTCTTCCTCCTCCCCCTCCTCCTCCTCCTCCTCCTCCTCCACCTCCTCCTCCTCCTCCTCCTCCTCCTCCTCCACCTGCGCGCCTCCATCCTTGGACCTCTTAGTGGGGTTCGGCAAGTGGTCGCGAGGGGGGAGATCGGAGCTTTTCTTCTTGCCCTCGAAGCCACACGAGGGTACCTTTTGTACATCACGGATTTGCTGCCGCTTGCTAACGGTTGGTATAGCCAAAAATCGAACGACCCGACGGGCCCCGATGCTGATCTATGGGCCCGAATTCGTTGTCAACTCGATGGCCGCCCTCCGCATTTAATCACTGTTGCTTTCACCCGCAGTCATCAGGATGAGAAAGATATCATCGAGGGACGGGCAAACAGTTGCCATGTCCAAGCGAACGTTGTGGCTGATCAGTTGGCTGACGCCGCTGCCCAAGAGTGTCGGGTCCCGTCTCACATCCGCCAGGAGACTTTGGTACAGGAAAAACAGGTCATGCTTATCCGAATGCGCATGTTGCGAGCCACCCTGGATTCCATTCAGAGTGAGAAGTTTGCTGCCCAGATGGAGCGTGGAAGGAAAAACGAGGGGGTGCCCCCGCCCCCTCCCCCCCCCCGCCCCGCCCCGCTGCTGCTGCTCTCTCTTCTTTCTTCTCGGCTCACAGGCTCTCGGAGTGTAAAAGGAGGTGTTTTAAATGTTTTGGATCGGCTTCAGCTTCCACTGCCCAGGAGTGGTGGAAAACTGACTGTCCAGGTCTCGTGAATGTAGATGGTAAGATTCTCTCTCCCGCTGCTGGGGGTCGTATACATGTTGCGGGGGGCTGGCTGCATCCATCCCATTTTCTTAATTTCCACACCTCTCTGAAGATCTGGTTCTGTAGTGTGTGCGGGGCCATTGCCGACAAGCAGTTGTGCTCACTGGGCAAAGCTTGCTCGGGTCACCCCACGCGTACAGGCCGTGAATATTTGAACCGCATTGAAGCAGGGGTTCCCCCCAAGGCTCTCAGCAAGTCCGACCTGGTCAGGCGGCAGGAGAGAGCCACGCTTTAATGTGAACAGGCACTTGCATCCGCAACGGGTTCCACTCCACTCCTCCTCCTCCTCCCCCTCCTCCTCCCCCTCCCCCTCTCCCTCCCCCTCCCCGATCTCGAATTTTCCGAAGGACGACGAGAAGAAGATCGACGGCCCTGTCATCTCGAAGGGGACAGAGCGGCATGGGCATAAGCTTTCGGAGGTCCAGTCGGGCTTCCCGGGACGGCGATGGACCCCGCGTTGTCGGCGGTTCAAGGCTGAGCCCAAGCTGGATCTTCACTCTTTGAGTCCATTCGTCCTCAGGTCCCATCCTTCAGGGCCCCATCTTTCCCCAATCAGTGCTTGCACTGAAGGGGTCCTAGCGGATGTTGGAGGATTTGGCGAAAGTTCCCCGCCGATTTTGGTGGCAGGTTGGGTTCCCGGGTTCCCGGTTCCGGGTTCCCGGGTTCCCGCCGATTTCGGAGCGCGGCGAGGTTCCCGGGTTCCCGGGTTCTTGGTCGATGTTCTTATCGATCGGTCTCACCATCGATCTCACTACCGTCTTCTCGATCGATCTCACAATCGATCTCATGATCAATATCACAAGCGATCTCAGTAGAGATCGCATGAGCGATCTCGCGATGGATCTCATTATCGATCTCACTAAATCGATTTAACTCTCGGTCTCACGATCGGCCTCACAATCGTCCTCACGATCGATTATACGATCGATCTCATTATCGATCTCACAATCGATCTCAAGATCCACAGTATAAATTTTCAAATCATCCACTGATTGGGTGTTCTCAGGTGTAATTGAACTGCCGACCCTAGCGGCGCCGTCCCTGGCGCGCTCCCGCACGAGGAGAGGGGGATCCACGGCAGACCCAAGAAGTCCGAGCGGACCTCCGAAAGTTTATGCGTGTGCAGTTTTTTCTTCTTCTGCCATCGGGATCGACCTGGGGACCACCTACTCGTGCGTGGGCATCTACAAGAACGGCCGCGTCGAGATCATCCCCAACGACCAGGGCAACCGCATCACCCCATCCTACGTCGCCTTCACGGATGACGAGCGCTTGATCGGCGAGGCCGCCAAGAATCAGGCGACCATCAACCCATCGCAGACGCTGTTCGACGTGAAGCGCCTGATCGGCCGCCGCTTCAAGGACTCTACGGTGCAGAAGGACATGAAGCTACTGCCGTTCAAGATCGTCGACAAGGGTGGCAAGCCGTTCATCAACGTCAAGGTGTTGGTGGTGCTTGCATGGGAGAGTGCGCCCCCATGTGGGAGGCTGCATGCTAAGGTGTACATTTCCCCTGGTTCGTGGAGTGCACGGGTTATTCGAGAGATGTTGCGGTCGTCCTTTCCTCCTTCCTCGAGGCGACTCCTCCGCGGCGGCCGCGGGGGAGGAGGAAGAGGAGGAGGAGGAGGAGGAGGAGGAGGAGGAGATGGAGGAGTAGGAGGAGGAGGAGGAGGAGGAGGAGGAGGCGCCCTCCTTCTTTCACCCGTTACAACAAGAGTACCACAGTTCGCAGCATCCCTGGGGCGCACAATCCCCAGAAGACGAGCACCCCCGAGCCCAGGTGAAGGGAGAGGCCAAGGACCTCCAGCCAGAGGAGGTCTCTGCCATGATCCTGACGAAGATGAAGGAACCGGCGGCGAGCGAGGGGGGGATTTCGAGGTTCGAACTTCGAGGTTCAATTTTCGAGGCGGGTTCTCTTCGTTTTCGGCCTCTGGGGGCCGTTCTCGGGCCCCGGACCACCCGAACATTGATCCGGGGTGAAAAACCGCGTCTCGGGACGAGCGAAATGGGTACGGAGAGAATGGGAACGATGCCCAACAGAAGTTCCTGTTCGTTTTGAGCAGTAGCTGCTGTCCTCGCCGCCGTAGACGTTGTTCACTGAAGACAGAAAGCCGCCATCCCAACAGCGGCCGCTGCTGGTTTGGGACAACATGTGCTGTTAGGCATTGTGCCCATTTTTCCGTACATTTCGAGTGACCCGAGCGTCGGATGGACCCCGGGAGTGGTTGGGGGAACGATTTTGACAGATTTTTGGCGGGGAGCGAGGGGGGGAAGTGAGAAAGACAAGGTTTTCTCCGAAGGCGGCGGGTTTCTCAGAAGCCCTCGCGCCTTCTGGGAAGTGGTTTGCGTGCTCGGGGAAAGCTTAGAGAACCTCTTAGAAGGTCGAGGGACTTCCGAGCCTTCTGAGAAGGCCCGCCCCTTCTTACTTCCCCCGCGGGCTCGCCGCCGAAAGGAGACTGCCGAGAATTACTTGGGCAAGGAGGTCAATCACGCAGTGGTCACCGTGCCCGCGTACTTCAACGATGCGCAGAGGCAGTCCACGAAGGATGCGGGGACAATCTCTGGGATGAACATCCTCCGGATCATCAACGAGCCCACAGCCGCCGCTATCGCATACGGTCTGGACAAGAAGACCGAGAAGAACATCCTGGTGTACGATCTTGGCGGCGGCACCTTCGATGTCAGCCTGCTCACTATCGACAACGGCGTGTTCGAGGTGGTCGCCACCAGCGGCGACACGCACTTGGGTGGCGAGGACTTCGACCAGCGCGTCATGGCGCATTTCGTCAAGATCTTCCAGAAGAAGCACGGCAAGGACATGTCCAAGAATCAGAAGTCGATTCAGAAGCTCCGCCGCGAGGTCGAGAAGACAAAGCGCGCCCTGAGCTCCACGCAGCAGGCTCGCATAGAGATCGAGGGGCTCTTCGAAGGAATCGACTTTTCTGAGACGCTCTCGCGCGCCCGCTTCGAGGAGATCAATGCCGACCTGTTCAAGAACACCATCGGTCCCGTCAAGCAGGTCCTCGACGACTCCGGCCTCAAGAAGAACCAGATCGACGAGATCGTGCTCGTCGGTGGCTCCACGCGCATCCCCAAGGTCCAGCAGCTGATCAAGGAGTTCTTCAACGGCAAGGAACGGCGGAGCGCGAGGAGGAGGAGGAGGAGGAGGAGGAGGAGGAGGAGGAGGAGGAGGAGGAGGAGGAGGAGGAGGAGGAGGGCGGCCGCCTTGAGGCGGCAGGGGGGCCTGCTGGGAGAGCCCTTCCGCCCTCGAGGCAGCCTTCGCGGCCCGTCTGAGAGCATCCACCCCGCGCAAGGCCCACGTCGATCCGATCGATCCGATTGGATTTAAGTCGGGTCTGTCCCTCCTACCCTACAGGGGGAATATTCCAAAATAGTTTTAAAAATAGTATGGGGACTTTTTTTTGGTTTTGACAATGTTTGACTATTTGGGATTGTTTTTGGTTGAGTACTTTTTATTTGTTGCCCGAAATCCCCCTGTAGGGGGACAGGCCGCCCAAGATCTGGTATCGGCTCCGGCCGGGTCGATGCGCCTCGACGCCGCGACTCCGGCGATGCGACGCGGGCCGATGTGCCTGCACGGCGCTGCCGTGCCTCATGGCGCCGCCGATCTCTGAGTCGCTTCACCGGCTCGGTGCGGCCCGCTGCAGTGCCCCTTCCGAGCCGATCCGCTGCACCGATTCGATGCCGACTGATCCTGCCCTCGGGAGCCTGGATCCGAGGCGGGAATTTCTACATGACCACCGCCTGGAGGGTCAGTTTTCGGAGCCTCGGCAGGCGGTGGATATGCATACGTTTCGGGCCCCCGAGGGCCGAAATATATCCATATCCACCGCCCGCCGGGAACCAGAACGTCGGCTCCCAGGCGGTGGATACGGATAAATCCCCGCCTCGCACTGGAAATGGGCGCTAGCACCAACACGGGAGGCCGCCACCTGGGTGCAGATGCTCTGGGATGTTGGTGCCGGTGGCCATCCCTCGGCCGAAGCTGGACGGGGCGAGGACGAGGATGAATCCGTTCCAGAGCGTTCTTGGACATTGTGGCGCGTTTTGGAACGCTTTGAGAAGGCCGCCCGCGGCGCCCGAGACAGCCTCCAGAGCCGCCGCATCTCAGAGGTTCTCGGATTCGTCCTCACCCGATGTTATCTTCGTAATGGCGTCCCGGACATGCGACGTCCTGATTTGTTCCATACGGGGCCCCCCCTGAAAGTCGCGACCCTTTCCCCAGGATAGGGTTTTCCTCCTGAGTCGTTTGTTGACGGTCCCGAGGCCCAGCGAGGGCCCACCGAGGCCGAAAATTGCCAACAAATCCCGTCTTGGTATCTTTACGACGCGATCAAGTCTGGGTTCGCCTTACGAAACCAGGATCACCTTTCCGCATTGGAAAGCAGGATCACCCCCTCGCCCGTTTTTCCCCTTTTTGGGCCTCCTGGGCGGCCCTCGTCGCCATCGCTGGATTCGCCTCGAAATTCTGGTCAGAACGCACCCCGGGAGAGGTCCGGGGAGTAGCGGTATCGGTATTTGTTTGTTTCGCCAAGAGCATCCAAAACGGCATCCATCGAAGAAGAAAGAACGCCATAAACATAAATGTTTGGCGCTCCGCGCGGAGTTCTTGGATCCACGCTGGGCCCCCCTCCCTGGCGCCACAAAAACGACTCAGAGGATGGAAAGCCGGGCCCCGGGTACAGCTGGACCTGGGCCAGAAGAACATCCCTCAAGAACACGAGGCCCTCCGCTGGCCAAAGCGCACAGAACATCCCAGGGTACCCTCCGCAGGGCGCACAAGAACATCCAACGAACACGAAGAGTATCCGGGCACCCTCCCCGAACCGACCTCGATTGTATACCTCGGTCCGTAGAGGCCTCCGAGATGGGGTCGGAGGACCGCGCCGCTTTGCCGATACACGGGCGATGTATCGACGAGGCATCGGCGATGCACCAGCGATGCCTCGTCGACGTGGGCGATGCATGGGCGACGCCGACGTGAAGCAAATCGGGCTCCACGTCGCGCCGCATCGGCGATGCAGCGGCGATGCGGCGCGATCCTTCGACCCCCTCTGCTCCGACTCGGCGGTAGACAAACCTCCTCTTAGTAAACCTCTATTTCATGAAAACGGCCTATGAGGCCGAATCCGACGGTCCTGGATCCCGCAGAAATGACGGCCGCGACGCCCTCTCGCGAACCGGAAACGGCCAATTCGCTAATCGACGCGTCAGGGTAAGAGGTCTATCAACCTCCGAATCGAGCCGCATCGGCGATGCATCTGTGATGCGGCGCGATCCTTCGACCCAATCTACTCCGACCCCATCTAGGAGGCCTAGAGTCCGACTATATTTAAGTCGGGCGTGTCCCTACAGGGAGATTTAGGGCGAAAAATGAAAATATTCCAAAAAACAACTCCCAAGTAGTAAGAAATACAAAAAAATCGTCCCCATATTATTGTTAGACTATCTTTGAATATTCCTCCTGTAAAGGGACACGCCCGACTTAAGCCCAGCGCCACTCTTGCATGTAGCCGACCAGGGTCGGGAAGCGGACCCCCCGAGGGCCGACAGGGTTGAAGGACGGGCCAGTTTCAATTTTCATGTGTTCTGCAAGGAGGAGGAGGAGGAGGAGGAGGAGCAGGAGCAGGAGCAGGAGCAGGAGGAGGAGGAGAGATCTGAGCGGAGAAGGGGATCCAGACCTCCGAGCCACGACAGAGTCGCGCGTCCGGAAGGGCGCGTGGGCGAAAGAGCGCGCGATTGGCACGTGTCCGGAAGAGGCACAGCAGAAAAGCCACCACAGGGAGCGAGAGTGCGGAGCGCCCCGCGATCGTGAAGCAGGCGGCGGCGCGCACCACGACGTCGAAGCGCAACGCGACTGTGAGGTGCCAGACATCCGAAGCCGTGATTTTTGTTCGGCACTGGGCCCCCGGAGAAGCCCCGACCCTCTCCCCCGGGCGCGCAGCTCATCCTGAGCCGTTTCTGGACGGCCCCGGAGAGCCGACGCCACGACGTCGAGGCAGCACTACGAAAAATCACGACCAGAGCCACAAACCCCATCGTTCTGAGGCACTCGTTGAGCCGAATCGGTCTGTGCTGGTCTCTCGGGGCCCGAAACCGGGCGAGCACGCGGGGTGCGCAACAAATACTGCGCCGATCCGAAAGTTTCCCCAATTTCGCCACCGCGCTCGCCGCGGCCATTGATGGCGCTCGCAGGATAAGACTCGCGGGGCCCGAGGGCGAATGAGGACGATGTCGCGAGGGCGGAGTCGGCGCGCCGATAGGCAGCCCAGCACCCAGTTTGGCCGAAGGGGCCCAGCACAATGCAAGGGCAGAGCCTAACCCCCGCCCAGGGTCGCGGGATCGGGTTCCCCTTCCCAATAACGGTGTACTGACCCGAAAATGAGCAAACGGCATAGGACATCCTCGAAAAAAACTGTCGGGTTTGGTCACGCGACGACCCGGAAAGTGAAATTGGCCAAATCCCAGATGATTTGTGCCAAATAAGATTTCGGGCCCGTCTTCGAACGTCCCGGAAATGTGCAAACCGCCTAGAGTTCTTTGCAAAAAACATCGTTCTCGAGGTCTTCGGGCCCACTCCGAAAAAGCCGAACATGGGCAAACTGCTTAGAACTTCCTATCAAAAAAAGGTTTCTCGGTGGTTCCAGGCCTCGTCCGAAGGAGCCGCCGATGGGAAGACCGCTTAGGACTTCCTGCACAAGAAACGGTTTCTCGGGTGAGCCATTGTCAACGGGAACGCGCCCCGCGCGGGATCGGGGTTCGCACGGGGGCGCGGCTGTTCTCGCCTGTCCAGGGGGCATGCATTGCCGCGCCCTTCCAGCATAGCGTTTGCGCTGCATTCGCGCGGCGCCGTGCCTTTCAAGTCGGAATAAACTTTCGGAGCGCCGATGTAGGCAGCGCCCGGATTTTGGGGGGCCCCACGACCCAGGTAGCGGCCCTCTGGGAGACCGACCAGCGGTTCAAAGACAGACGGGGCCCCGAGGATGAAAAGTACACGCCGGTCGTTGAAGGTAGATATCCTCCTCCTCCTCCTCCTCCTCCTCCTCCTCCTCCTCCTCCTCCTCCTCCTCCTCCTCCTCCTCCTCCTCCCTCCTCCCTCCTCCTTTCTCCTCCTCCTCTCCTCCTCCTCCTCCTCCTCCTCCTCCTCCTCCTCCTCCTCCTCCTCCTCCTCCTCCTCCTCCTCCTCCTCCTCCTTGGGACTCCCAGGTCCCATTCTACCTCTAGCGCATTCTACCTCTAGCGCCTTCCTACTTCAAGAGTCGAAATGCTCATGCTGTGTTTTGGTCATTCTCTGGGAGGGCTGAACCCAGTCTACTGCGTCCGCCTTCCTACTTCATGTCTTTACCTACTTCTTCCATCCGACGTGCAATCCAGGGTCGGATTGCCAGCGTCTGAGGCACATCGTCCCTAGGGCCCCATCCCAGTGGGCCCCGTTTTTGAACCGCCGAGCCGAAAGCAGCGAACAGAAATGCCCGCCCTGGGCTGCTCAAGGCGTTCGGGTCCTGGGACCCACCCCTCCGGAGAAGCCCCCTGGAGGAGCCCCAGCCTTGTCACGAAGGCCCGCGCCTCGTCCTGCGCCGCCTTTTTGCCGGCCCCGCGCGGACCTCCTTAAGCGCCTGCTGGGGTAAGCCTGAATCGGGCCTGTCCCTCTACAGGGGGAAATTTCAAAAGTGGTCAAAAAATAGTATGAGCACGATTCTTCTCCTTTTAAAAAACTATTTCTGCATATTTGTGGGCGGGTCTTCGTTTTTCCTCCACAATCAGCCTGCGGGGGACATGCCCGACCTAAGTGTAGTCAGCTGCCCTTCGGTTCGGGCCGCCGAACCGAAAGCAGCGCCGAAGCTCCCCGCCTCTGGGCTGCTGGAGGCGCCGCCCGTGGCCGGCCCCCGCGGCGCAAAAAGCGGCCCTACTGGGCACCGATCGGTGGTCTCAAGAAGGGTTTCTCCGAAGGGCTTAGGCGACCCCTCCTCTTCTCTATCCTCCTATCCTCCTCCTCCTCCTCCTCCTCCTCCTCCTCCTCCTCCTCCTCCTCCTCTCCTCCTCCTCCTCCTCCTCCTCCTCCTCCTCCTCCTCCTCCTCCTCCTCCTCCTCCTCCCTCCTCCTCTCCGCCTCCTCCCCCTCCTCCTCCTCCTCCTCCTCCTCCTCCTCCTCCTCCCTCCTCCTCCTTCCTCCTCCTCCTCCTCCTCCTCCTCCTCCTCCTCCTCTCTCGCCCTCCTCCTCCTCCTCCTTGCTCCTCCTCCTCCTCCTGCTCTGCTCCTCTCCTGCTCCTCCTCGTCGCCTCCTCCTCCTCCTCCCCTCCTCCTCCTCTCCTCCTCCTCCTTCTCCTCCTCTCCCCTCCCCCTCCTCCTCCTCCTCCTCCTCCCCCTCCTCCCCTCCTCCTCCTCCTCCCTCCTCCTCCTCCTCCTCCTCCTCTCCTCCTCCTCCCTCCTCCTCCTCCTCCTCCTCCTCCTCCTCCCTCCTCCTCCTCCTCCTCCTCCTCCTCCTCCTCTCCTCCTCCTCCTCCTCCTCCTCCCCTCCTCCTCCTCCTCCTCCTCCTCCTCCTCCTCCTACCTCCTCCCTCCTCCTCCTCCTCCCCCTCCTCCTCCTCCCCCTCCTCCTCCGCCTCCTCCTCCTCCTCGCCCTCCTCTCCTCGGGTCGCCTACGGCCCCGGGGGACACCGTCCACGGCGGTTTCAAGATGGGGCCCTGGGGGATAGGACCTTCGGGAGAAGAGTCGATCGAAGGTTGGGCTTGCATGGTCTGTGGCACGCCGTCCTCAGTGCGTTTCTCGCGGCCCGATTCTTTTCGATCGGGGAACAGGAGCCGGCGTCGAACAGGAACTCTCGGAGATCCGGGACAACTTTTCGGACCCGTGCTGGAGGATGGGGCCTTCGGGAGAGGAATCCATCCAAGGTTGGGTTTGCATGGTCTGTGGCACGCAGACTTCAATGCAGCTCTCAGGGCCCCATTTCTTGATGGGGGAACACTTACTCCGACGGCAGGACCCCGCACGAGAGTCTATTCAGCTTGCCCATCGCCCTTTTCCTCTTCGACTGGCGCAGGCCCTTCTCATCATCATCATCATCATCATCATCATCATCATCATCACCATCATCATCATCATCACCATCATCATCATCATCATCATCATCATCATCATCATCATCATCATCATCATCATCATCATCATCATCATCATCATCGTCATCATCGTCATCATCATCATCGTCCTTCTCGCCCTGGCTCCTCACGATTGAAGCCTGAGGAGCCTCAATGTGACGACAGTTACAGGATTTGGATGACCCGCTCGGATTAGAACATGAAATGCGGGACCCACAAGGAAGGGGCTCCCGCCTGAGACTTCCTCAAGATTGAGGCCTGAGGAGCCCAAATGTGACAGCAGGTAGAGGATTTGGATGGCCCGCTCGGATTAGAACATGAAATGCAGGCCCTATAGGGAGGGGGCTCACGCCTAGGACTTTCTCGAGATTCACTCACAGACGAGTCTCCCGTCTGAGACTTCCTTTATGTTCTGGCCTGAGGATCCCGAAAGTGACGACAGTTACAGGATTTGGATGACCCGCTCGGATTCGAACATGAAGTGCGGCCCCCATATGGAGGGAATTGCCACCGGAGATTTCTTCAAGGTTCAGGACTTAGGAGCCCCAAAAAGACGACAGTTTCAGGATTTGGATGACCCGCTCGGACTCGAACATGAAGTGCGGGCCCCATGGGAAGGGGCTCCCGCCTGAGACCTCCTCAATATTCAGGCCCGTGGGGCGCAAAAGTGACGACAGTTGCATGATTTGGATGACCCGCTCGGACTCGAACATGAAGTGTGGGCCCCATAGGGAGGGGACTCCCGCCTGAGACGTCCTCAAGATTCAGGCCCGTAGAGCCCAAAAGTGACGACAGTTACAGGAGTTGGATCACCCGCTCGGATTTGAACATTAAGTGCGGGCCCCATGGGATGGGGACTCCCGCCTGAGACTTCTTTAGGATTCATTCACAGACGGTGCTCCCATCTGAGACGTACTTTCTGTTCTGGCCTGAGGAACCCAAAATTGACGACAGTTACAGGATTTGGATCACCCGCTCGGATTCGAACGTGAAGCGCGGCCTTACAGGGAGGGGCCCCCGCCTGAGACGTCCTCAAGATTCAGGCCCGTGGAGCGCAAAAGTGACGACACTTACAGGATGTGGACGACCCGCTCGGATGAGGACATGAAGTGCGGGCCCCACAGGGAAGGGACTCCCACCTGAGACCTCCTCAAGATTCATGCCTCAGGAGCCCAAAAGTGACGGCAGTTTGAGGTTTTGGATGACTCGCTCGGATTAGAACATGAAGTGCAGGCTCCATAGGGAGGGGACTCCCGCCTGAGACGTCCTCAAGATTCAGGCCCGTAGAGCCCAAAAGTGACGACAGTTACAGGAGTTGGATCACCCGCTCGGATTTGAACATTAAGTGCGGGCCGCATAGGGAAGGGGCCCCCGCCTGAGACTTCCTCAAGATTGAGACCTGAGGAGCCCAAATGTGATAACAGTTAAATGCGCGAGCGAATGTGAGTGATGATGACGATTGTGATAGTGATGGTAATGAGGTGGAGAGGGTGTGGGATGATGACGCAATTCATGATGATAGCACGATGACGGACGATGACATGATGAGTGAGTGGCGTGAGTGATAATGAGTGCGAGTGATTAGTTATTGATGATTGCCGATGACCATGTTGGGACCATGGCATGATAATGAATGAGTTCATGATGAGTGAATGAGCGAGAGAGTGAGCGGGTGATCATGATGATCGGTGGTCATGATGGGATGGTGATGACAGGAGGAGGGGGTGAGGTGAGGTATGAGGCTCCTGCGTGGAGGTGCGCAGAGAAAACAAGAACCACACTTAGGATGTGGGGAAAACTGGCATCAAGCATAAACTCTCGGAGATCTGCGAAGACTTCTCGGACCGGTGCTGGAGTCCCCTGGCGGCGCCTCCAGCGCCGCCCTCCGCGCGACAGTGAGGGGGGCTCCAGCGCCGATCCAAGAAATCCGCGCGGACCTCGGAAAGCACACGTTCATGTAATCTCTTGTTCTTCGGTTCGAGCCACAGAACCGAAAACAGCGAAGAATATCCTTCGGCCACGCGCAGAGGGGGGTAGGGGGAGGGGGGAAGGCATCTTCGAAGCACACCTGCTTCTTAGATGGCGCGGGCCCTGTCTGTAGATGTAGCGCCGGCGCCTTCTGAGAAGCAGCCTCCCTCTAAGAAGCCTTCCCCCCTCCCCCTACCCCCTTGTGCTCGCCGCTAACTTATTGCTCCCCAGTTCGAGCCACCGAACCGTAAAAAGCAGCGAACAAGAAAACGCCCTTTTTCGCGGGCTGGTTCGCCCGTGCATGTCCTGTTCGCCGGTGCACGCGATCTGTTCGCCGGTGCATGTCTTGTTCGCCGGTGTGGAGGCGTTGCGTCATGCACCGCCACTCCAGCCATGCTTTTGGGAACCTTCTGGGGCCGCGCCGCTGCCCGGAGGAGCCGAACCGCGGCATCAACCCGGACGAGGCCGTGGCCTACGGCGCCGCCGTGCAGGCCGGCATCCTGAGCGGGGAGGGCGGCCAGGAGACCACATGCAGAGGGCGGCGGCGCCGACGACGACGACGAAGACGAGGACGAGCACGAGGACGACGATCAAGACGACGACGACGACGACGACGACGACGACGACGACGACGACGATGACGACGACGGCGGCGGCGGCGGCGGCGGCGGCGACGGCAGTGGCGACGACGACGACGACGATGCCCAAGACGACGACGACAACGACGACGACCAAGACGCACAAGATAACGACGACGACGATGACGACGCCAAAGACGACGAGGAGGAGGAGGAGGAGGACGAAGACGATGGCGAAGAAGACGACGACGACGGCCACGACCACCATCGACGAACGACGACGACGACGACGACGACGAAGAAAAAGGAGAATACGACGAGGGCAGGGCGAGCTGCGGGGGGGGCAGGGCGGATCTCCAGGGGCCTCTGGAGACCTCCTCCTGCAAGAGGAGGGGGAGGATAGGGAGAGGAGGAGGAGGATGCGGAGGAGGAGGAGGAGGATACGAAGAGGTGGGCGAGGAAGCGCAGACATGGACTGAGGCGCGTGGATGAGGGGCGGGCCCCGCTGCCACGATAACTCGACGCGCGCCGTCGCCGAGTCGGGCGGCGCCGGCTTCCTGCAGATCTGGCGCCCACGCCCCACCGCTCCGTGGGTCTGGCGCGCGGGCGCCTCTTCCTCCTCCTCCTCCTCCTCCTCCTCCTCCTCCTCCTCCTCCTCCTCCTCCTCCTCCTCCTCCTCCTCCTCCTCCTCCTAGGTCCACGGAGCCGCGATCCATGTTGGCACGTGCCCGAAGTAGGTAGCAGGAAGAGGAGGAGGAGGAGGAGGAGGAGGAGACGGAGGAGGAGGACCAGAGTAAATCCCAGACATGCCAGCGATGCTGCAGCACATCCTTCCGTCCCAAAGCCCCCTCCCCATCTGTCTTTGCAGATACGTATTCTTCTTCACTGCGCGATGCGCGCCCCCCTCTTGACAGAGAAGTGCCCCCTGGGCCTGCAATCAAGGAGCGAGGTCCTGTTGACAAGGAACAAGAAGACACAATAAAAGAACACAAAGACAACCAAAGTAACAAACAAACAAATTGGCCTCCATCCATCTACTTACCTCGAATGCGACAAGGTGGGGCCATACAGTTTCCAGAGCGTACCCAGCAACAGTCCCGCTTTGAAGAGCGGCCGCCCTCGAGCAGTGTAACCGTTGCACGATTCCAGGCCTCTTCTCACAAATGCGCCCGACGGCTCAAGCGGTTATCCGATTTTGAAAAGCAGCCACCCTCCAGATGTGCAATTGATGCACATGTTGTGCCTGTGGTGACCAGATGCTGAGTACGTGCCGGGCGAGAGCCCCGGTTTGAAACAGAGCAGCCATCCATCCGCGTAGTTGATGGATCTGTTCTTGCTCCTCGTCCTCCTCATCCCTCCTCCTCTCTCCTCCTCCCTCCTCCTCCTCCCCGAATCCAAGGGAAACTGCTGCACAGCGCCTGTGTCGATTCCACCACCAGACGCTCCGCTCGATGCGCGGCCGCTCCCACCGTGGGGAGGCGCCGGGAAGAATGGCTGCAGGACCAGCTGCCTGCAGCTGATTCGCTGATTTCCACCTTAGTCATCCCTGCCCCGTCCGCCCCAAGGGGGGAGGTCGAGCGTGGATTGAGAATCGAGGTTTGTGAACGGTTTCGTTCCTCTTTGAGCCTCCGGAGGCCTCCTGGGACTTGGGTGTTTACCGCATGAGACCTCCCAGGCCTCCTCTTCCTGTTGGATCGAGGGTTGTGGACAGTTTCAGTCCTCTTTGAGCCTCTTGAGGCCTCCAGGGACTTGGGGAAACCTCTGGAGACCTCCTGGCCTCTTCTAAGTGTTCCTTCTTCTCCCTCCTCCTCCTCCTCCTTCTCCCCGCTCCTCCTCCTCCTCCTCCTCCTCCTCCTCCTCCGCCTCGTCCTCCTCCTCCTCCTCCTCCTCCTCGTCTTGCTCCTCCTTCTCTTTCTCCTCCTCCTCCTCCTCCCCCTCTTCCTCCTCTTCCTCCTCCTCCTCCTCCTCATCCTCATCATCATCATCATCATCATCATCATCATCATCATCATCATCATCATCATCATCATCATCATCCTCATCCTCATCCTCATCCTCATCCTCATCCTCATCCTTCACATCCTCCTTCACCACATCATCATAATCCGTCCCTGCTTCCTTCTTCCCATTATCCGTCTTTCCCTTCTCCTCCTCCTCCTCCTCCTCCTCCTCCTCCTCCTCCTCCTCCTCCTCTTCCTCCGTAGCCATTTTGGCTCAAGGTCCCGTGTTCCTCAGTGGAACAAGTGGATACCGCTAGTCCGCGGCGGGCAAGACCCTTGGGGTCTGGCAGTGTTTGTCATCGATCCGCGCTTGGGCTGGCGGGTAAACGGAGGCTTTTCCCGTTCCTGCCTGCCTGATCGCCCAGCGTTCCTTCCCATGGGCAGCGGCCGCCGCAAGGACAAGAAAGTTCGCAGGCAGGCGCCGCGCTCGGATGGCTCGGACATATCATTCTCATCTTCGGCATCTCCCTCGGCTGGTGCTTCTCGCCGTGATCGTCGTGGTGACCATCGGCCCCCGCCAAGCCCAGGCGCCGCCAGCTCCCAGCGCTCTCGAAGCGCTGGTCGCAGCACAGCCCGTGGCGAGGCCCCCAACGGACCGATGTCTCGGGAAGACGCCGACATGCTGGACCTGTGCCCCACTTTCCCGAACAACGAGCAGGCCGTCGCCGAGTCGGCCAAGACGCATCGCCCTGGCGCCCCTCCTGAACTTGATGCTGGTCTGCGGGCCCCTGGGACGCCCGTCGTCGGTCTCCCCACGCCGCCTCTCGAGCCTGGTGGCGCTGCGAGCTGGCCACCTGGCGCTGACCCTTGGGCTGCTCACCTCCGCAGCTCCCCTGGTCGCTCTGGTGCCCCTCCTCCACCTGCTCCTGGTGACGCCTCAGCTGCTGGAGTGGCCTCTGGCAAGGCGGTCACATCGGCGAATGCTATCCCTGGCATGTCCGAGATGCTCGAACGCTTCAAGACGGACATCATCGCGGAGATGTCCCGCGCCTCCGCCGAGTCCATCGCCAATATGGTCCGCTCAGAGCTCCCACGAACCATCTCGAACGTGGTGCAGCCCCTCGTTGCCCAGCTGGACTCAGCGATGCAAGCGAGGTTCAGAGCCCAGGAGCTCCGCATGGTCGAGGTGGAGAAGCGTCTGGGCGCCGCCGAGTCCGCGCACTCCTCGCTCACGGAGCGCTTCGCCAAGCTGGAGCAGGAGCTGGACCTCGCCCGCGCCGCCCCTCGCGAGCCCATTGCTCGGGCCGCGGAGTGGCAGCGCGCCACGGACCCTGGCATCTTCGTCATCACGGCGAAGGAGGATGTTGGCAAGAATCTGGCCGCGGATGCGCTGGCAAGCTGGCTGCAGGCCGCCAACTACGAGGTGGGCAAGGACTTTGAGCTGGAGGGCGACGAGTTGGGCCGCAGGTTCATCCTTCGCTTCAAGGGTCTCGCGGTCACGTGTGCTGCGCGAGTTCGCCAGGCTCATGCGCTCCTTCGAGACGCCCACGGAGTCTGGCGGCAGTTATCCGCCCCGATGCCTGGCGGGCGGCGCGTCCCGATCTATGTTAGCGCCGATCACAACAGGTTCGAGATCTCCAGGGAGCGCAGCACCAAGAGGCTGCGCGACAAGCTCCAGGACTTCATTTGGAAAAGGGTCTTCATGGACAAGGACGCGGGCACGCTGTCCATCGACTGGGAGGTCCTCGCCCGCGTCGTCGTCGACCCGTCCGCGCCCGCAAAGGTGCAATGGAATCTGGGCGCCCTATCTGATCTCCGTTTGGCTCGGGCTGACATGGACAGGCTCGCCAAAGGGCTCTTCCTGCCCAAGAATATTGAGTGGAGTGGGTAACACGTTCTGCAATTCTGACTTGATCTTCAACAGCTGGAACTGCCGTGCTCTACTTCATCACCAGTCCTCCGTCATGGCCCGCAAAGCCGACATCGTGCACTCCCTCCTCTCGCCCTCCTCCATCACGGCCCTCCAAGAAGTGCATGGTCCCCCTGCTGCTGTCGAGGGACTCCTCTCGCGTCTTCGTGGTGGGGTCGCGGTCTTTGGCTCTGCTGGTCGCGGTGGCGTCTGCACCCTCATTCCCTCCTCCCGCATGACGGACATCCAGGCCACGCCCCTTGAGATCGTGGTGGGGAGGGCGCTTTGCCTTGAGCTCGTCCACAAGCGCTCTGGCTTCTGCTGGCACCATTGGAACGTTCACAATCACGATCTTGAAGCGAAGGACTTCGGCGCCATCTGGCAAGCGCTTTCGCCCCAGCTGGAGGAGGTTCGACACGACCCCCTGAAGTTCAGCATCCTCATGATCGGCGACTTCAACCTCGCTGACTAGGAGGTCGACTACTCCACCTCGGAGCTGGTCTGCGTCCGCGGCCGCCCGCGGCGCCCCGCCCCTGGCCCCGTTGGCTCCGCCGCGGCGCGTGCCTCCGCTGGTCGCCAGTCCCACGCTGGTCGCACGAGGTGGGCGAGGATAGTTAGGCATCTCACGGAGCTCGTAGCGCCTGGCCTAAGCCACTTCCACGTGGGCACGCGCACTGGCCCCCGCATCGACAGGTGCTTCACGGCGACGCCCCCCTGGCTTCTTTGCCAGCTCTGGCAATGCGCTCGGCACCGCGGTGAACCTCAAGAGTTCCACGACGCGCCCCTCTCCGACCACGCCCCGCTGGAGGTCACATGGCAGTCGCGGCGGTGGGATTCCAATGGCGAGCCGCGCTCTCGGAAGATCCCTCGCAGCATCTTCAGCGATCCCCTCTTCATGCCGATCCTCGCGGAGTACGAGAAGATTGCTGGCATCGACACGTTCGCGTGCTCCTCTGCGGCGAACCTCCACCTCTCGGCGCCGACGGAGCTGGAGTTGGCGACCCGTTGCTGGCAGGCCGCTGCGCGGGCCGTCCGCGATCTGCAGCTGCGCGACCGCCCCGGGATTCGTGAGAGCCG